ATTCATCCGAAAATTTGTTTGGTGTTCAGATTTGTGGGGCATATCCAGACACTGTTACAAAGACAGTTGAGCTTATAGAACAAGAATGCTCTGTGGATTTCATTGATATTAACATGGGATGCCCAATTGATGTTGTAGTTAACAAGGGTGGTGGATCAGCTCTTCTTACAAAACCAATGCGGATGAAGAGTGTAGTAGAAGCCGCTTCTTCAACAGTTGGTACACCAGTAACTATCAAGGTAGGGTGGACTGCTTTCCCTTTTATTTTGTAACTCTTGGAGATCAACATACCTGGGCATAGATAATTAATTGGCGTTATGATTAATTTCAAAAAAATTAATTGGCGTTATGATATGACATTCCCCGTTCCCACCCCAATGGCAGCTGTGGAGTAATTTATTGGTTTTCTGGGTTTATATTGTTCACACATGCCCTTGGTTTCTTAAGGAATTTATGGAGATGCTTGACAGTACACCGTTTTCCTGCTTTAGGTACGAACTGCTTATTTTGAGGGGAAAAATCGCATTGATTCTCTAATTGCAGATATGGGTAGTTGGGGTGCAACTGCAGTAACCATACATGGCCGATCACGTCAACAGCGCTACAGTAAGCCTGCTGACTGGGATTACGTGTATCAATGCGTGCGAAAGGCCCCCAAGTCATTACAGGTCCTTGGAAATGGTGATGTATTTTCTTACGTAGACTGGAACAACCACAAAACTGAGTGTCCTGAACTTTCTACATGTATGATTGCTCGAGGTGCATTAGTAAAGGTTAGTAGTATAATGTTTTCTGCTCTTCTATTTCCATTGTGTAAAATTTGTTACTGTTGCATGTTCATTCTATATGTGCCTCTTAGAGTTTATCTGCACTAAACAGCACATCATAATTTTGCAGCCTTGGATATTTACTGAAATCAAGGAACAGAGGCACTGGGACATTACATCTGGCGAGCGGCTAGATATCTTGAAGGATTATGCACGGTTTGGCCTTCAACACTGGGGTTCTGATTCGAAAGGTATATAGTTATGTGAGTAATGTTATCGTACATTAAGAAGTTTGTCTTGTCAATCAACCCGACGTTAATTGTTGCAATCTATTGGAAGCATGCCATAAAGATGAGCTATCATGTTTATATTTGCATCCATGCTTACTCATAGAACTGAGTGTTGTCGCCTTTACATCATCACATGTTAGTTCTTTTACATCATATATATAAGAAATTGAGATAAGATAACATGTGGAACTGCTATATTTACGCTAATATGTTCCAGGCATGTGCAGACTTGCTGAACTGTGCTTAGTATCTGGCCCTTTATAGCCAGGATAAATGGAATTGATTGATACTGCTTGTTATCTACATTCTTAAGTTATAACATTCTTCTATTAGGTTCACTTGTCCGATATATTAGGGAAGCGTCCTGTTAGATTGGACATTGAAAAATGTGAGGCTGTGATGCTTCTTTTTAAATTTGTTATCCATTTTACACTAGCCAGTATTTATGTATGCATCCTGTACATCCTATGGTTATTCATTCTTTTCTTGAATATCTGTGAAGACGTAATTGCAAGAGCTACATGTATGCTGGGAGAACCTTCCATTGTTTGTCTTGAATAGATGGGGTTTTTCCTCTATACATTTTATTCTGGTTGCAGTTCGCTTAGTTTGCGATGTACTTCTACCTGAGAAATTCTTGAAGATAAATTATCATTATCTATACCTAATGTTTGCACCAAATGAGCGCAGGAGTAGAAACAACCAGACACTTTTTGTTGGAGTGGCTTGGCTACACATGTCGGTACGTTCCAGTTGGCCTGTTAGATATTATCCCACAAAAAATAAATTGGCGATCACCCTCATACTACGGCAGGGATGACCTAGAGACACTAATGGCCTCTGATTCTGCTGCTGACTGGGTACGTAATTTATTGTTCGTACACATAGTATTGTTAAGCACTTCAAACATTTATCCTTCTCTCATTGTAATGTGCTATATATATTCCCTCGACAGGTAAGGATCTCCGAGCTGGTACTCGGGAAGGTTCCTTCTGGCTATTCGTTTGCACCAAAACACAAGTCCAATGCTTATGACAGAGCAGAGAACGGCTAAGACCATTTTGTTGTTATTACTGATGCGTCTGATTCTAATTTTTGCTGAGCTCTTAGCGACCTTCCTCCTCTCATGATTAGTGGCTTATTTATCATCAAGTGCGAAATCGATATGTCAATTCATAATAGCTTATTGTTAGGGCTTTTATATAGCCCTTATGATTTTGTTTATATTATTGTTTCCTTCTATATACAGATTTTTTATTGATACTCAACTGAGAAGATCATTCTTCTTGGTTAACTTATAAAAAATGTTCATTTTGGAAACGTGAATTGTATTTGTAGAAGACATGATGTATAGTTTTATAAGATGCTCGTTTCAATTAAGTCTCTACTGATAATCAATTGAATTCCTTAATTAATGTACTGAGATGGTTGGTCATTTAGGTAAACTGTTTTTTTATTCACTTACCTTTATTAAAAAATAAAAACTATGATACCTTGTCTGTATTTTCTTCCTTTAACTACTCTTTTAGGTATCTAAGCATTGCCTGTATATTTTCTGACGGGATTAACGGCTTGCATTTCAAGCTGGTGGTATTACACCTATTAAGTACTCTATTTAACTGTTATAATTCCAAACACTTATTTGACTTTGAAAGGTAATGTATTACTGTGCTGATGTCTTGACCGAAATTGCTCATCTAAGAGTCGGTTCAAGATTCGACCTTTATGAATTTTATATTCTATGATATGGCCTCAATTATGAGTAATTGAGTTTCGAATTAAACTTTTGTACATTTTATTGACTCTTTTAACACGCATACAAGGTTTAGATCGAAGATATTGAGTTCTGTCAAATCAATATACTACCTCCGCCCCGGGGCCCAATGCATCCAGGTTTTTAATTTTGATATATGCAAACATACACTGAAGACAAGACAGCCTGAAAAAATAATGGAAAATTCTACTGTGACGTTACGGTTTAGAATATGTAATTGTCAAATGTTGAATCCTTCCTAATGTTTTCAGTATGTCAATGTGACATTACATACGCAAATCCACTTTATAGAGTAGTTGTTAGTTTGTTAAGTTAATGGAGTAGTTGCATTTCCATTTCATGTGGACTTGATAAAAAACAGTCAAATTCAAGAATTTCTTCTAACTACATTTCAGTTCATTATCCCAATAACAAAATAAGACATGGATTCTCCTCTGTTACATGAATTCAAAAGGCAGGCTTCCTTCTTCCTCAAAGAGAAAATCAAGACTGCTCGACTCGCGCTTACAGATGTTACTCATACTCAACTGTAACTTCCCTTTATCTTTTCCACTGCTGAAAAAAACAGGAATTAGCGACACATAAATTTTGCAGCTAATTCCAGTTTTTTTTCATCCTTTCTTTTACATCTTATGAATGATATATGTTTATTAATGACAAAATTTAATTTAAAAGGCTGGCAGAAGAAGCTACAGCTGGAGATTTGATTGCACCAAACATGCAAACCATGAGGCTAATATCGCGTGCGGCCTTTGAAGTTGATGATTATTGGAGGATAGTTGATATTCTACATAAGAGGTTTTTTTTTTCTTTTCAATTTTGCATTACTAGTTGATATTATTTGTACTCTCCTTGATTTGGGATTTTTAGTTCTTTATGTGTTCTTACGCGAAAACAGGTTGTCGAAATTTGATAGAAGAAATTGGCGACCATCTTATAAGGCTGTGATGTTATTGGAATACCTGTTAACTCATGGACCAGAAAGTATTGCAGAGGAGTTTCAAAGTGATGAAGATGTCATCAGACAGATGGAAAGTTTTCAATATGTTGATGAAAAAGGGTTGGTCTTTATACTTTCATCTCTTTGTTTCCCATGCCTTTAGTAAGTTAGAGACGGGAGTTTGTAAAGATCAAATCTTTGATGATTCCGTCATCGTTGAATTTTTTCCCCATTAAAACAGGTTTAATTGGGGATCAAGTGTTAGAAACATGTCAGAGAGGGTGATAGAGCTATTGGAAGACAGGAGTTTCCTGAAAGAGGAGAGGCAGAGAGCGCGAAAAGTGACAGTTGGAATAAAAGGATTCGGGAGTTTCTGCAATCGCCCTGTTTCAGGCGAAGATAGCATGAAAGAAGAGAGGTACCTGAGAAGCAATTCTGAGTTTACTGATTGCCAAAACAAGGAGAACCAAATCATGGACTCAGAGACTATGTTCATTTGCAAGCAAAGATTGGCAAATGCTCTTATAATACACAAGAATGTTATAGATGATCCAATTAGTGATGCCATGGAATGGAATCAACATCCATTTTGTGATATCAGAGATAATCATAGCCAAGCTTCATTGCTTTCCACCTCTGGATGAAGCAGCAAAGGAATATCGCTATCGTGGGAAAAAAAAGAAAAGAAAAACTTATGATAGAAAGCTCTATTTGATCTAAGTTATCAAGTATATGAGTGAAGGTGTGATTTGGTGTGTTAAGGACAATTTTGTCTATATCCATGTATTATCGCTTTATTAATATCATTGTATTAGTCATAATACTGAATAGAGTCATATCAGTTCATTCTTTTAAGCCATGGCACATGTGTTAGGCAACAAATTTGAGAGGAGTTGAAAAAGCACTATCTCGTTCGATATTAAGACCCCCTCCCCCCTCGAAAAAGTAATCTTTCTTGATAAAGTCGGTTGATTCGGGCTAAATTGTATTTCTTAGGGGTTACATTTTGACATAGTTCAAAAAAAAATCTTCTTCATCCAAAAGGCAAAAAAGAAAGTTGAAGAATGACTAAAGCTGATTCAACCTTGTAACTTTATTTGTAGCCTTCTCACTTGGAAAAGAAAATGCACAAATTCACTTTATAAAGAAAAGTTGCATTTCCATCGCATGTGGATTATAATAAAAAGCAGTTAAATTCAAGAATTCTTTGTAACTACATTTCAGTTGATAATCCACATAACAAAAATTAGTACTCCATACTTAGAACTGAGGGAAATGGATTATCCTTTGTTACATGAATTCAAAAGGCAGGCTTCCTTCTTCCTCAAAGAGAAAATCAAGACTGCTCGACTCGTGGTTACAGATGTTACTCATACTCAACTGTAACTTCCCTTTATCTTCTCCACTACTCAAAAGAAAAAAGGAATTAGCGACAGATAAATTATGTAGTTAGTTCTAGTAGTTTTTAGTTCATAGCATCGTTTCTTATTATGAATGACATGTCTTTATTGATGAGAAATGAAGGCTGGCTGAAGAAGCTACAACTGGAGATTTGATTGCACCAAACATGCAAACCATGAGACTAATATCGCGTGCAGCCTTTGAAATTGATGATTATTGGAGGATAGTTGATATTCTGCATAACAGGTTTTCTTTATTTTGTTGCATTACTAAGTCATTGATCTTATTTGTATTTCCCTTGATTTGGAATCTTTGGTTTGGTGTGTGTTTGTTGTTCTTTACTCGAAAACAGGTTGTCGAAATTTGATAGAACAATTGGAGATCATCTTATAAGGCCCTGATGTTATTAGAATACCTGTTAACTCATGGACCAGAAAGTATTGCAGAGGAATTTCAAAGTGATGAAGATGTCATCATTCCAATATGTTGATGAAAAAGGGTTGGTCTTTATACTTTCATCTCTTTGTTTTCCGTAATTCGTAAAGGTCAAATCTTTGATGATTCCATTATCTATGACTGACATTCGTTTTCCATTAAAACAGGTTTAATTGGGGATCAAGTGTTAGAAACATGTCAGAGAGGGTTATAAAACTATTGGAAGACAGGAGTTTCCTGAAAAAGGAGAGGGGAAGAGCGCGAAAAGTGACAGTTGGAATAAAAGGATTTGGGAGTTTCTGCAAATGTCCTGTTTCAAGCGAAGAAAGCATGAAAGAAGCCATTTCCGAGAGGTACCTGAGAAGCAATTCTGGCTTTACTGATTGCCACAACAAAGAGAACCAAATCATGGCCTCAGATAAAGGGTTCTCTTGCAAGCAAAAATTGGGAAAAAGTTGGAATATAGAAAGTGTTATAGATGATACAACTGGTGATGCCATGGAATGGAATCAACATCCATTCTATGGTAATCACAGCCGAGCTTCATTGTTTTACATCTCTGGATTAAGCGGCAAAGCAATATCACTATCGTTGGAGAAGAAAAAAGAAGGGTAGGATGAGAAGCTCTATTTGATAGAAGTTGTGTCAAGTCTATGTATGCTTAGGTGTGCTTTCATGTCAATGAAACTTTTCTTCCAACAGAGAGATTCATAGTTCAAAGACATGTTATAAAGCAAATCACTTTAGACATAAATATGGATACTGTCAATTCATAGTTATTTACACAACTCAAACTTAACCAGTCACTCCAAAGTTCCCCTTCTCGTTAGGTACTTGAATATTTTGCCTAATTGTTCGGTTCCATTTATGGTTATTTCTTCTGTGAACAGTAATGGTGTGTATTTGGCAAATCAAATACTATGGTTAACCATTCTGATTAGTTGATAATCTGATGTAACATCCCAAATACAAGTACAGAAGAATGACTTGGAGGGGGAGAAAAAAAGAAACTTAAAAGGCATTGAATTTTCTATAGTTAAAGCATGAAAAATCCAAAGCAAAAACTAAGCAACATGTAAAATTTAACTGGTTCTAACTTCATTCAAGATGGTTTTCTTCTGAACTTTACTACTTCCTGGTAGCCAACCACCATCAATGGAGTCCATATCCCCACTTAATCCATCATCCATGAAGTCCCCAATCCTTTTAACTTTGCCTGTTGGCTCGACGGGATAGTTTCCTGAAAAACAAGCATAGCAATAACTTTTAGAATCACTGCCTAACATCTTATTCAAGCTCTCAATTGGGAGAAAGGCTAGTGAATCCGATCCAATGTACTCCCTAATCTCCTCCACACTCATTCTGTTAGATATCAACTCCTCTGAGCTAGGAGTGTCCACCCCATAATAACAAGAAGCTATAATCGGAGGGCTTGCAATCCTCATGTGAACCTCTTTTGCACCTGCCTCCTTTAACAGCCTCACAATCTTGGACGAGGTTGTCCCTCTAACGATCGAATCATCCACAACCACAACTCTTTTCCCCTCCAACACTGCCCTAACTGGTGAGAGCTTGAGTTTCACTCCGAAATCCCTAATCTTCTGCGATGGCTCGATGAATGTCCTACCAACATAGTGCGACCTTATCAAACCTTGTTGAAATGGAACCCCTGCTTTAGCAGCATAGCCAAGCGCTGCCACAACACCTGAATCAGGAACAGCTATCACAACATCACATTCCACTGGAGCTTCAGTAGCTAGAATTTCCCCGAAAGCACGCCTAGACTCATACACAGACCTTCCAAACACCACTGAATTAGGCAAGGCAAAGTAAATATGCTCAAAGATACAAGATTTAGGCTCAGGATGAGGCATCAAACAAATAGATTGAACCCCTTCTTTATCCACCACAACAACCTCACCAGGAAGAACTTCCCTTTCATAAGTAGCCTCAATTAAATCCAAAGCACACGTCTCCGACGCGAAAACAACAGCACCATTACTTCTCCTACCCATAACCAATGGCCTAAACCCATAAGGATCCCTAACAGCAACCAACTTATCCTCAGTAGCAAACACCATAGAATAAGCACCCTCAATCTTTTCACAAGCCTCAACAATCCTCAAAAGAAAAGGCCTTGCCTTTGATATAGCAATAAGATGGAGAACCACCTCAGTATCAGAACTAGTATTGAAAATTGAGCCATTCTCTTCAAGCTCATTACGAAGTTGTTTGTAATTCACTAAATTCCCATTGTGGGCAACACCAACTGACCCAAATCTATAACTAGCAACAAAAGGTTGAACATTTTTTAACATAGAAGAACCAGCAGTAGAATACCTTACATGACCAATAGCCAAATCGCCAGGGAGTTGGCCAAGTTTCGATTCACTAAACACATCAGAGACCAACCCAACACCTGTAATAGACTTGAGAACGTTATCATTAACGCAAACAATGCCGGCGCCTTCTTGGCCACGGTGTTGAAGCGCGTGAAGGGCTAAATAGCAAAGACGAGAAGCTTCAGAGTCACCGTAAATACCCACAACGCCGCACTCTTCACGGGGTTTATCGTCATCATCGAAATAGGAATCAAAAGAATGGCCATCCGGGTTGGGTTTGGACGAAACGACGTCAGTTAATGGGTTCTTGGAGGCGGCAGTGATGAGAGTTCTGTGATGGTGGTGATAGGGTTTTGGGAGGGTTTTAGCGGCTAAAGATAAGAGCTTTTGGGATGGAGAAGAAAAGGGTTTGTCGAGGGACGATGAAAGATGAGACTTGTTGGTGACGGCGGCGGAAGAGGCGGTAGATACGGCGGCGGCGGCCATGGGTGGCGATGAAGAGTAAACAGGGGGGAAAAGGAAATAAGGACTATGTGAATAGCCAAAGAAGGTGGTTTAGGTTTTGGCCCTTTTATTGCTTCTTGTGATGTGAATATCACGTGTGGTGACAATGGGTCTCAAAAATTTAAGGGAAATATTAATACAATATTTAATTTGCAATTCACAAATTTGTACAAATTATGAAAAAGCTGATATATATTATCCTATAAATGATAAAAACAAAAAAAAAAAAAACTAATAGAGTACATATGTCGATGTAATTCTAACACGAAGGCGTAGACGCATAGTTTTACTTTTTTTCCAATTTTCATTCTGTGTTCGAAGCTCATATTGAAATTCTGATTAAATTTGGATCGCGCACTGCAAGGCCTATTCGGAAATGGCGCAATCCAATAAAATTTTCTCCATACTCAAGGCTCGAACTTGAAACTACCGATACATCACAATCATGTTGATGACACGTAGTTATATTATACTATACTATATTATATAGTTTATAACAAAAGGCGAAATTAACTCGTAATAAGCTTTCGGCGATTTTTGTTTTTGGCTAAATTATCAATTTAGATTCTCGAGATGGCTTTTGCCTAAAGTGTAGTAGTAATAACAAAATTCGATAGGAGTATTGGGAGTCCCACTAAATTCAACTTGTGTTGATAATTTTGCTTTTTCGAGATGAAGTATTTACGTATTAAAAATGATTTAAATTTCAAAGTTAAAATATTTCTAATTAAAAATAATGGTAAAATCGTTATTCTATTTTAAAAAAACTAGATTTCTAACTTTATTATTATTTTTTACTTATTTATTTTATCAAATCAATTTTTAAAAATGCATTTTTAATACTCCATATGTCCAACAACAGTTGTCCACTATTGACTTGACATATTCCTTAAAAAACTATATAATAGAAATGTAATTTTACTATATCACCTTTTGAATATACTCCCTCCGTCCCATTTTATATGTCATCTATTTATATAAATAATTGGTCCATAATACTTGTCATTTCATAAAATCAATGCATAAATTAACATATTATTCCTTTTTTACCCTTGTGAGTTATTAGTATTGAAAACATATTTTTGACCAACTTAGAAAAGTTAAGTAAATGATTCATGTTCATTGATTAAATTAATTCATATTCATTGATTGAAAACTTGAGTTCCAAAAAAAAAAAACGGGTGAAGGGTAAAGTTACATAATTTCTTAATGCAAGTACAAAGTAAAAATGTGACATATAAAATGGGACAGAGGGAGTAATAAATACAATGTCTTAAAAAATGTAATAGAAAAATGCCTATAATTAATGATAACGATAAATTAGAAACTAAGTGTAAAATTATCCATGAATTTTATAAAGTAGACAAGTATTATTGGACATCTATTTTTAGTATAATGGACAAGTATTATTGGACGAATGGAGTAGTAATTTCTCAAGCTTTTTCCCCTCAAAATACGTTTGTGACACTTTATTTCACGTGTCTAATAGTAACCCCCTCCCCTCTCTAATTTTATGTTAAAATTAAAGTTTGATATTCTTTCATTTTTATCTCAATTAAATTTATTTTACTCAATGATCTGAGTAGGAGTTTTCTGTTTCTTTTAGAAGTTGGAATACTTTTGGAAAATATGGTTTTTCTTCTATATTTGTGATTGTAAAATATACTCCAATTGAAAGTAGGAAGAAAAAAAGTGTGGGAAACGAATTTTTTGATGGGGACTACCGCTAGGAATCAGAATGATTTACTATTTCTTGTTAAAATTAATTAATATGTTTTGATTCCGTAATGATGTGAAATTACATACCATAAAGTAATGTTAATGGTCACAAAAATAGCTACTCTAATAAACTTGATTCTATTTGTTTATTTTATTTAATCAACTTATAATTTTGAAGAGACATATAATTCAAGTTTAGAAGAAAGCAGCCCCCCAGACCCCACCTAGTGGGATTTCACTGGGTATGTTGTTGTTGTTAGAAGAAAGCAGCCCCCCAGACCCCACCTAGTGGGATTTCACTGGGTATGTTGTTGTTGTTAGAAGAAAGCAGCCATAAACATTGACTTTTGAATTCCCAAAAGTCGAGTATTATTTTTGTTGACTTGAATTTATCAAAGTTACTTTTAAAAAATAAATTAAAAAAATAGGCATGACAATTGACAAGTTTTGAGATTAATCACATATCCTTCTCATAGTACAGTCATTGTACGTGATGCATATTGGAATGCTTCTCTATCCTTGAAAAGGTTAATGAAATTAAAGCAGAAAAAGAGAGAGGAGGACCACAGGTCGAAAAAAAACTTACTCATATTCAATGTTTATAATAAACTATATTATTGTTAGATGATAAATTAAAGTAGGAGTACGCAAAAGTGCGTAATGCGTTTTATCATTTATGCATAATAGATATGAGTTTGATTTTCGCATCTTCTTCCTCCATTCTCTATGTAATTAGTTATATTTTCTTTATTTGTGTATTTCGAGGGTCAATCAAAAACAACTTCTCTAGTAGAGATAAGAATGTATACACACCATCTTCACTCGATCCATTTATGAAATTATACTCAATTTATTGTTGTATTCAAAATCTTTAATCAAGTGTGATTATTTAACAATTTTACATTGTATTAAAATCATTTATCACACGAAAAAAAAATGTCATTGAACCCCTATGCATTTAGTGACAATTACAATAAAAAAAAATCACTCAAAATTTGACAATTTTTGGTCAAAATTGCAAGTTGGGATAAGAAGGAAATACGCCGTCCACATTTTGTTCAAACAACTTTCAACCAATGGATAAGAATAGAACACAACACAGTATTCAATCAACATTACAAGACGTAATTGCATCAACTTGACAATGAGCACATAACCACTTACCACCAATGAAATTGGCTTATAAATTTATGGACCAGGAAAAAAAGGCCAATCCACATACATACATACCACCCAATCTGGTCCACAAAGATTCCATATTAAAAAAATAAAAATAA